CCCACACCACAAAATTGTTCCTGTGGCTCCTTTGATAAGGGCCCTGTTCCTAAATTATATGGAAAAGCAAGGGACAGAGAACCAATAAGAACAAGAAAAAAAGGAAGAAGAAAGAGAAAATATAGAGAATGGAGATACGGGCCAAAGAAGGAGGGAGAGAAGAAAAACAACAAAGATGGGGGAAGGAAAGAAAAACAGCTGTTAATTATCTTAAATAAATGTACATTATTTAACAGCTTACAAGACTTTCAATGTATGCTTAGATGCAGCCTGACAATATGTGTGTCGTATGTATGTAATAAGGGATGCAAGGAATTGTTATTGTAGGAGGACAACCTGAACAGAAAAAAGTATGAAACATATCTGGATACATATTGGCAAAGAAATAAGAAACCATCCAACTACACTGTGGCTTATAAAATGTGGGAACCAGACTGGAGAAAGCTGGAATACTAGTCACAATACTGTATCTGAATGAGAAAATTTTGAATACAAATTTCTGCTGAACCATTATGCTTATTGAACTTTTGCCCCAGTTACAATCATTTTAAGATATACCACTTGCTTGATGTATCTTTTGAAAAAAAACATTTTCATAATTCAGCTAGCATTCAGATCGTTTGGCATACTTGATATCTCCTTTACTTCAATCTTTCCGATTTATAATTGAACTTTACTTCTAGAGGAGGTAAAGTTGAAATACATTTTTGCCATAAGCAGCAGTGGTATTGTGTGGAATTAATCTGTAATCTCAGTTGGGGCACTGAACAACAAATCATGAAAATATGTTTAAATCAGCATGTACACAGTCTGTAACAAAGTCTCAGAAATGTGTTGTTCCATGCTAAATTGTAAATAGTGCATGTTTGTGCATACATCTCCTACAACTTAGAGAGCACAAAACATTACATCAAAATTCAGAATTAAGCAATTCAAATACATTTTCAATAAAAACACAATCCATAATATGTCTTTTTATTTGACACCGGGATGAATGATTATTTTGCAAAAACAATCATGGAAAAGACAAAGGTCTATAAAATATCCAGAATACAGAAAACTACAATTTGAAAATTCTGGAACTAAATATCTACATATTACGGTAGCTTTTTACATTTGACTATCAAATGACTTTGTACCCTTGTAAGGGGCTAACCACAATTAACACTTTTGCCTTGGATGCTAATAAAATTTTGAACTCTGGACAAAGACTTTTGGTGTTTTTGACCTGAGCAAAAAACAAACAATAGTGAAGAAACTCTTCCAACAGCAGGCATATCAAATTGAATAAATTCAATTTAATTAAATATTTATCTTTGCTTTACTTTAATCATTGTTTCTTGAGCAAGCATATATGAAATAGTCTATGTTTGCATATATATCAGAAGTAAAATGGCTTGCTTTCTTTGCCTTGCCTTGTCTGCCTTGACAGATATTTATTGTGAAATGATGCTTATCAGTAAAAAAGACTCAGAAGAAATTGAAGAATAAATTGCTATACTTTAATGCATTGGTAGCACCAGGTCACCATTATTTTAGGCTGGAATGCAGATTAGGAGGTATGAGAGCATGAAATGAGCACTCTTAGTAACTGTTTGCCATAGTGAGTATGGCCAATCACTAAACATTTATCAGAAGGAAAACACGTCTATTGTATGATCACCTTTAGCCACATTATGCAAATACCACAAAAAGTAGGCAACAGTAAACAAAAAATGAAAACCATGAACTGAGAACAGAAAATATCACTAAATGTATGTAAAAATTGATCATAATTCTCTACAAATTGACTCTTACAAAGCATCCTTGCTTCTACCATGTTTAGTAGAAGAAAGCCAGTTGTTGTAGTAGCTGTGTTGGTGGGCAGAAATCACTGAGTGTTCTAGGTTTCTTTTAAGTTTGAAAGTCATCTGGATGGCTTTGGACTAATCCCTTTTTCAGCCCACCCACTTAACAAGATTGTTGTGGGGAAAATGGGAGATGAGAGTATGCTACCTTGAATTGAATAAAAGTAAGATGGGATAAAGATCTAATAATAAATAAATGTCCATGTGTTGCTTCATACTTTTTCCTTTTGTTCTTTAAAATTTTCACCTATCTTTTGTTGAGGATCTCTTCAACACCACCCCATGATGATTTTCTCTCTCTTCCTTTTCCTCCCAACCTATTTACTTTTCTTTCATATGTTTCTTTTTTTTAATTTGATCTCTATTCATTCTCCTTAGCTGACAAACCACAAGTCAATATACTTATTTTGTACCAGTCACTCAATTTTGTATTCAAGCCACCTTCATTCCACTCCTATTCTTCATTGCTCCTTGATACACCACACATATAGAACATAGAATCACAGGGCTGGAAAACACCTGAGATTCAATCTCCTGCTCAAGGGCAGAACACCTTATACCATTTTGACCAAATGGTGTTCCAAGCCTATTTTTGAAAACCTCCAGTAATGGAGCACCTACAACTCTGAGTAACAAGCTATTCCATAGATTAATTGTTCTGTCAAATATTTCTCTTTCTAGGTTGGATCTGTCTTTAACAAGCTTCCACCCATTACTTCTTGCCCTGCCCTCTGGTATTTTGGAGAATGTCAATCTCCTCTTTTTAAATTATCTGTTTCTAGTGTATTTATGTTTCTCCTAAGATATGCAATTTTCACAATTTAACAAAGTGGGCACTTTCCCCATACATAACCAATTTCAGTTTTTTCAGCAAACACCCATTCTTTGTAAAAGACCACATCCTCTCTTTGTAAAGTATTTGTATATCTTAAAATTTCTCCATCCATTTACCCATGTTTAAGAAACTATCTACCAAAGTAAATAAATTCACATACTTGCTCTGTTTTTTCACCCTTTATGCATGACTTGCAATTGTTCATTGCATTTTCATTGTCAAGCACAACTACCTTGATTTTTGATGCAATAATTTTCTGATCTGTACTCCTCATTGCATAATACAATCTGACGTTCACAGCAAATGAATCAGGATCTCAAACAATAAATGGCATTGTCTACATAGCAAAAGACATCCATTTTAATAATTCCAAATAATATATGTGTAATATTATCACAAGAATTCCTTATACATTTGTCTATGAAAAAATTAAATAAGTAAAGGGACACATATAGGTCAGAGGTGGGTTCCTACCAGTTCGCACCTATTCAGTAGAACCGGTTCGTCAAATCTACTGAACCGGTTAGAAGAGGTTCCATCAGTGGATCCGGAAAGCAGGCCACACCTACAGAAGAGGTTCCAAAATTTTTTGAAACCCACCATTGGTCCTTGGATATGATTATTCTACACTATCATGCTCATAGTTATAAAACTCAGTGCCTCTGTGAAAGGTAAGGATGACTACTGCGTTTGTGGTGAATCAGAACATTGCGTGTGTTGAAGTTGTTTTAACGCAAACCAAAGATGCCTTTTAAAAAACAACTTTACATCATATTCTTATGCATGCCAGTGCTGTGTGTGAGGTAACTTAAGGTGGTTCTGACAAGCGTCGTCGGCATCTTCATATCCGGTCACATGGGCGGCAAGCCACTCCCACAAAGGAGGCCACACCCACAGAGTAGGTTCGAACAATTTTTGAAACCCACCACTGATATAGGTAATCCTCATTTAGCTACTATAATTAGGACTGGCAACTTAGTTATTAAGTAAAGCAATTGCTAAATGAAACTTTGCAACTTTGCTTAAAATCTTACTTCAGTTCTCATTTGCTTTAAAGACCTAGGAAGGTTGTACATGCAAGGATTGATTGTAAAATTATTTTTTCAATATCATAACTGCGAGCAATTTCTAAACAAGGTAGTTGATAAACAACTACCTTGTTTAGAAATTTGAACTAGATCTTTGTTCTAGCTCCTATTCAATATTCAATCACCTGTGAAACAATTAGTCTCACAGTGGCTTCACTTCAATCATGTATTTATTTCAGTCAACAACAATAAACTCCACATGCACATAAAATGTTCCATAGTCCAACATATTTCCTTTATCATATATATGCTTTAAAGCAAAAAATAAACATAAAATAAACTTTTTCCACACATTAATCACATATTATACATTCCCTATGATTAATTGAAAAAAAACTTGTATTTTGCCTGGTTAAAACAATGCTGTATTTTCCAAATTGTACTCATTATTGACTTTTCTATCATTTCAATCAGAACAAGGAGGATTCCAGAAAGCACAAGGAAACAGAATCTATGGTAAAATTTTGTAGAATTGTTAAAAGAATACATGAGAATAAATTCTGACAATCCTACAAAGCTGTAACCCTCATGAGCTGAGGAAAAGATCTACAATATAGCATTAAAGGTTAAAAACAAGTATAAGTGTAAACTTAACATTAGAAAGCCAACCATGTACAGAGGAATTTTTTAAAATTAGCATTTGTTATATTAGTAATCCTAAGGTTATCACCAGAAGCTATTTTCTTTCACATAAATATTAATAATATTGCCTAACAATATTGAAGTAAATTATAGATGTAAAGTTAGATAAATTGCCCCGAAAGACAACTGACTACTGTAGTGACTTCAAGCAAACAGATCAGCAACCTATTTCAGGGTCAAAATTATAAAATATATGCATAGATATTTTGAAAACAATTTAGCACTTTGAACATACTATCTTGAAATACCTGAAATCTTGAAAAGGAAATGAACTATGATTCAGAGTATTGTGGAAACATTAGTATAGGTTTTCTGAAAACTATTCAGTGGTGTATTGGTTAAGGTGCCAAGATAGAAACAGGGAGACTGTGAATTCTAGATCTGCCTCAGGCATGCTGGATGACCTTGGGTCACTCACACATACTCAGTTCTAGGAAGCAGGCATTGGCAAACTACTCGTGAAACCTTGCCAAGAAGATTATAGGGGCTAGTCCAGGCATTTGATCAACACTGACTTGAAGTGTGCATCTTTTCCCCAAATGCACTTGTTGACTCATTCTACCCAAGGAGGCATACCCCATAACATACCTTTCTTCTACTGAAACTTCCTTTAATTGTTGGTGTGGCTTTGTGCCTTCCATCTCTCGGATGCTCACTGCATAGATCTTTGTAGTATAATCAATTGCTTTTTCACGTGCAACATCACTGTCATAACCTTGGATACATGTGAAATAGATCATAATACTTGTTTAAGAACTTCCAATTTTTCAGTGTGGAAAATATATTTGAACCAATTAAATACAGATTATGGTATCCAGAGCCAGTGTTTTACTGCTTTAAAATATTACGTTTGCAGGAAAAAAATGATTTCTTAAAAAAAATCTTGTGTCATAGATTTATTTTGTGTAGATTATCTACATAGTAAAAGTTAGTTTTGTATATATATCTTTTTCCTTAATTTGCAATTAGTTTCCATGATCTTATTTGCTTTTAAGATAAGATTCTTTTATTTTACATTTCCAGCATCAAGTAATATGTAAATGTTTGTAAAGAAATCAGAAAATTCATTACTTATGTGAGGCAACTGAAAAATTATTTAAATGTTTTGAAATAATCTGGCATATTCCTAAATATGGAAAAATTTGGAAGAAAATGATATGCTCCTTAGAATAAGATCTTCTTCTGTATTCTCCTTTGCCAACTGTGTGGTGCTGAGAACCAGAACCTCAGTTATGTTTCTTTGTACTTGCCAGCTCTCTCGATGTCACTCATTTAAAAACATACATTTCATAAAGCAAATTCAATATGAAACTGGCATATGTCAAAACATTGTCCCATATATAATATTTATTTGTAGGAGTATCTTCGGGCTGCACAAAGCTATCCCTAAAATAGTAGAAAAGCATGCTAATCCACCTACAAGTAAAAAAATGTTTTTAAATGCCATACACATGATGTTTTTGGCAGCCATTTGTAAGTAGGGCTGTATCTACTACAAATCTATTACTGTTAAATATTTGCAGACAAGTATAATGTTGTTATAGTCCTCATATAGTCCTCATTTGAGAAAACATTAGAAAAACAGGATTCTTTCATATATGGTATGAATCAGTTCAAATAATATTAATATAAGTTTGCCTAAGGTACAAAAATGCCCTAGTTAGTCAACAACCTCCTGTATAGAATGATTTTTATAGACAAAAGCAGGGGCCTTTACCTCCATCTTCTTCTGCATCAGTATCTGATTCCTCACTGTCAACTAACTTGCTTTCCTGGGTTCCAACAAATTCTCGAGTCCAGATCATCAGGGCAGTGTCAGCACCACCCACTGTCAACAGCACAGAATCATTATGTAACCACCGGACATTGGTGACATGGGAACTATGACCCACATACTTCTTAAACTTGGCATGCTGACCCTGTAACACAGGCAAATCATATGGTCAGTGGTCTCTTTTTCCTAATATGGACCATGCATTCTGCTTCTACAAAAATTCAGAGGCTGCCGAAATTCAAGTATGTATGAATCTGAAATCCTTCAAGAGAAGTCTTCTCAGCAGGCAGCACCAGCTTGCCAATCCTGCTGGCTTCCCTACTGACTTTCTTTCTGGGAAAGATGGCAAAGAATATTGCAAATGTGATCACACGATCATAATGCACTTGTGTACGCAGGTTGCTGAGCCTCCAGATTGTAATCACATGTCCACAGGATGGTGGTGGTGTGAAATTTTGTGACTGTCAGATATGCTTTACGGGCCATTAAACACTCTTTCTAAAGCTGTCAGTAAGTTGAGCCATTATTAAGCAAATGGTTGTAAACTGATTACTATATATAATGCTATAGAAATTCTGGCAAAAATCCAAATCAGTTATTTGCCTTCTTTTTAGTCTCAGCCATCCACACCAGTTACAGTTGGCATCAAACCAAATAAATAAATATAGCCCAAACTGATTTTTTTTGATACTCATGGAGACCTTCTCATATGTTTTTGACTACCAAATGAAGAAACAAACCCTTCAACCAACTCTTACTGAAAACTTATTACCAGAATGTTTCTGGCCATTAAACTGCCTTTTCTTAAATTTTGTCTTGGAGTACATGTAAACTGTGAGCTTAAATGGAGTCCAGAGGATAGTAGAGGACAGGAAGGCCTGGAGAAATGTTGTCCATGGGGTCCAATGGGTCGGACACAACTTCACAGCTAACAACAAGAAGTACACTGGTAGCTCTTCCTTACAGATACTTTAGATAAAAGTCACCAAGCTTAATTGATCAATCTCCAAATGTATAAAATTTAAGAAAAGG